GTTGCCACTGACGACTCATCAGCATTCCCCTCTGACGCGGACGGTGGTGATTGGTCAACCACCAGCTCATCTGGGGAGAAAAATCATCTCGGTCCCAACTGGCGGTCAGTCAGAGCGGCACCTGACTACTCGGTAAGGCTCCGCCGTTTGGAAGACGGTGAGGCACGAGACTGTGAGGAACAGACCCACGCAGTGGAGGTGACGTGGGCCCTTGCACGGGCTCCTCTGAGTCGACACGCTCAATCGACAGTGTTTGATTACTCTCGTGCGCTGTACACTCGTCTGAACAACGAGCAGAAGGCCACCTTCGACAGCGAGATCGCCAAATTTAAAAGTCGTGGCTGGTGGGAAGAGGCCGGTGATCCGGACGCTCACGATGACAATGATATTGCCATTCCGGAGGCAATAGCCTTTCCAGTCGTACAAGGTAGCAAGACCAGGCCATGCGTCGACATGCGAAGGGCCAACAGCACCTTTCCATCGAGCTCATACGCTGGGAGATCGTGCAGTGTTATTCTATCGCAATTGCGTCTCGCCATTGCTCAAGTCACCAGCAAGGCCAAAGAAAGAAGGGAACTCCCCAAGCTGTCAATGGCGACATTGGATGCGGAGACTGCCTTCTATCGAGTCCGGTTATCGGGTATCACTGCCCAGGTACGGTGTCTTGGGCGCCACTACAAGGTGCGTCGACTCCTCTTTGGACATCGAGCTGGACCAGCAATTCTGGAAGAGGCAATATCGGGGCTACTCACCGCTGCGATGGCTGAGGTACAGCCCGAGCAGTCGTCCGATCGGAGGGTCCCAGTTTACTGCTGGGCCTATGTGGATGACGTCACCATTCTTGGAGAATGCTCGTCCGTAAAGCGCCTCTACTCTTCTATCATTTCCATTGGAGCAACGTGGGGTTTTACCTTCTCGGAGCGAAAAACCCATTGGGTATTCTTCAATGCAGACGGCTCGTCCAACAAGTTCGATGATTTTCGCCACCTCGGAGTCCGCTTCATCTGCGCACAAGGGGAAAGCGGGTGCAGAATGTGCCTACAATGTCTTCCTGCCACCCTGGTCTCGCGGAAACTGTCGGCCGGTGATGTCGTGACCAAACGTGAGGCATTTCGGTGGGCTGGTGCAGGTTATGACGTTCTCGGGCTGCACCCGGAGTGTGCTTTAGCGGCCGATCTGGTAAGGAGAGTCTCGGGTAAGTGGTCGCCTACCTCCTGGGACGAGAGGGTCACTATCAGCGAAGAGGATGCCCAGACCATCAACATCGCTTGTTCTCGGTTAGCAGAACGCAAGGAGCCCTGTCAGCACGAGATCGCATTCTGTGGCGCCACGCTTACTATCACAACTGACGCTTCCCCTTACGGTATGGGCTTCTTCCTCTCCATCGGTATCGCATCTGGGGGGCAGGTCGCCCTATATGGGAAGGCCAAGTGCTGGCGAGGTAGTCAGGTTTCATGGCATCAGAACCGACAAGGAGCATCCTGCCTCGGCCTTTCTTTCGTGTTCTGCGACCCCCTCATACCCTACTCCCATGGTCTCCAGGTCAGATTCCTAACTGACTCTCGCACTGCCCTCTCTTGGATGCGGGGTGGTGAGAGGATGACGAGTCGCTCTATCGAGCGAATTGCGATTCCAAGATTGTGTGATGCGGTGGCTGACCTGAAAGAGGTGTGGGCACGACGCTATGATGTTCATCCAGTCGTTGACCATCTCCCAGGGGAACACAACTCGCAGGCTGACTCGCTCAGCCGTCTGGCCTTCTCCTGGCACATTCCTCAAGGGGTGATCTTTGACGGTAGGATCAAGGGGACTAGAGGCGCATCAGTTACGCGCAAGTCCTCCAAGTCCTCTTCACCATCTCAAGCTTACGTCCTCGCGAGTCAGGACTCGCATCGGACTCCCCGAGAAGACGATGTCGACATCGACAGGGTATCGTCGGTTCTCTACGCTATCTCCGCAGATCATTCTCCTCACATCCCCAACAGTGTCAACATTGGCATCGGTCAGCCAGCTCGGAAGGATTTATTGGACCTTCAACACGGTTCGCCGGAGGTAGCGGCAATCATGGATCAGCTTAACAGTGCGGGCGGTTGTTCGGATCCCAATAACATGGAGTTCGTCTCGGCGGGTGACGGCCTTCTTATGCGTCGCTGCCGATCTAATGCGGGGCACGGCCTCTCGCGTCTCTGCTTCTACATCCCTTCGGATTCTCAGGAAGGAGTTGATTTCGCAAAAAGAGTGCTACACTCCTATCACGTCGACTCTGGTTGTCTCAATGCTCGGTACGTCAGATGGGTTTTCTCCAGAGCATTCTACGTGAAGGGACTCAGGAAGCTCGCTCTTGAAGTATGCCGTTCTTGCGACAAGTGCCAGTTCGCCCACAATAGGCGGTACTACTCCCTACGGGATGGTGGTCGGAACCTCTCAAACGGTGTCAACGGATGTTGGGAAGTTGTTTCGGCCGATCTTGCTGAGATGGGACCTGACAGGAAGGGCACATATACCTCGGCCTTATTTCTAATTGACCATTTCAGTCGCTTCGCTCTTGTAGCTTCACTGCGAAGCAGCTCGTCGTCTTCGGTCATTGGTGCTCTGTCGACCTCCATCGGTATCTTCGGTCCAATGGGACAACTTCGATCAGATCGTGGTCCCTGTTTCAGGGGGCGGAAGTTCACGGATTACTTGGCTTCACAAGGTGTGGTCCATCATGCGCTGCCCCCTTACGCGGCATTCTCCAACGGTTTGGTCGAGCGCTCGATCTCTGCCATCAAGTTTATTACTCGTCAGTTGGCGTCTAAGCGCTCGTGGTCCTCTCAGATCCAACGGGTTCTCGCCAGACTCAATGCTAAGCCTATAGATGGGATCGATCTATCGCCCCACGAGATTTTCTTTGCTAGACCACGAAGGTTTCCTGTGGACAACGCCCTGCATGATGTCAATTCTGGAGCTCTCGTACCAGCGGATGGAGAGCAAGCTCGTCAAAGACGTGAGGACGGTGATTACGTGGATCGTTTGGTATCTGAGGCTCTGAATGCCTCTAACTCGGCTTCTGCGGTTAAAAGGTTCCCCAGACGTGGTCCCCCTAAAGTTGGATCCGAGGTTCTCGTATTCGTGCCTAACCCCATGGGCGGTGGCAGCTATGGACACGAGGTCTACCGAGCTCACCGCGTTCTGGGTAAGGTTACTCTTCAGTTGGTGAAGTCGAACGTCCCTCCTGCATCGGTGACTCCCGATATCATCAAGGAGGTTCACTATTTCAACACTCGCCCTTACTATCGATCATCCGGGGGGCATGTCAGTGCTAATCAATGATCAGCACTATTTAGGATGATCGCTCGTGGGCAGTGTTCTGTTCTGAGGCCCGTTGTGCGGGCCACCTAGTTGTACTTGCGTGCGACCCTGATGGGCACGCGTGCTTTTGCTCGGGCCGAGCTATGGCCATCCCTATTATTAGATAAATAGATAGATCCGATTACTAAGCTATTCAAGTTAGTCTTTCCTTGAGACTTTAATGGCAATGAGTTCAGTCCGTGGCGGCATAACCTCAACAATCAGATAGCCACACGAGTGTGCTCAATGAAGATGCGCCTGGTAGCGGCATCAAATACCGTGCTTGCGCGAGAAGCGTCGAGCCCACACTGCGGTATTCCGTGCTGATAACGAAACACCGTAGGACCATCGCGATCACCATTCCACGAAAAAGCCATCCATATTTACCGCGAGTACTCCCGCGGTTCTCAGGTAGCTCCAACGAATTTTCCGCGGGTGAAGTCAAACGCGAATCAGGAAATCTCCGATTCGGGCTGTCTCTGACAAAAACAACGTGATTAGCCCGTCTCGCAACGTGACTAGCCCGCGTCGAAAAAGCAAATGATACGGTTGCTTGTTCCTCGCGTTTTGTACTGCCCATCGCCTGCTTAACAGGTCCTGTTGAGAAAGACAGTCATCGCTTCTTCGCCGGTCGATCGATTGTTCTTTTTTTCCTGGCGATCATATCAGTAAAGCATAAGTACATACCTCGCTGAGCCGCAAGATGATACTCGACGAGTATCATCGTCGAGATGATACTATATCATCATATCATATCGTCGA